CTGCTGACACACGAACCTTTTTCCTCTATATAAGCTGTTATGTACTAAATAAACCTTTGAGTTGGTTTGGGAAGGCAACCTGAAGCAGTCTGTGTTTCCTTGTTCTCCCAAGCTACTCCCGACGTCGTAACTAACCCAGCTGAGCGGCATACCTGAGTGTTACTTTGAATAATTAGGAGGAAAGGACAAAACTCTGCTTATCGGTGCTCACGCCTGGGAGGGAAACCGGGACGGAAATTTTCTCTTCATTAGTAACATTAAATAAAGAAACAGACACTTATGTTTGATTATCAGTGACTTCTGTTTTCCCCATTGAACTAATGCTCTTGTTTATTTGTTTTCTGCATATTAATATTAATTACAACACATTTGACAGATTTTATTGTAATCCTTCTATCATTGATTTAGTTTTCACTTTGTCAACAAGGTATTCCTTTCATGGATTTTGTTGCTGAGTTATGTTTAAATGCTGAGCTGAACTTGAAGTAAAGATATAATGATAAAATTAAACCCCAGAAAGTTGATTCTGTTCATCTGAACGTAGTGTTTTCAGTGGGAGAAACATTTCATAGCTCATCCAAGTGACTTCTTCATTCTCACATGAATGCAGATTTGCCCAAATGAAATGAATTTTGTGTGGATAGCCAGTATGTATTTTATATTGCAAATATTTATAACGTTTCCACTTTTAATGATCTGTTGAAACCAACCAAACTTGAGGACAAAATGATCAGTCATAATTTCATAAATAATCTTGGACTGACTATGAAGAAATTTGTCTTTTTGTTTTAGAGGGACAAAGGTGAAGAAGTGGTGTTTTACTACTGTCCTTTATGAAACTTTACTAACTTTTGTTGTTTCCAACTAATAGTGCTCTGCTCTGTGTTTCACTTCAACTGTTCACATGCCAAATTTTCACTGCATTTCGAGCTTCAAACTATATAAATACAGTTAGTTTGTATGTGACTTTAAGTTTACATATACAACTAGAAATAGAAAAAGAAATGGAAATTGTTTATTGTCATCAATTTTTAGATCCAATGACATTTGGTGAAAAGGAGTTGCACTGAAAGTATCCCCACCTGTCACGAACTATACGCACTGGAAGCGATTGTGGCATTTTTCTAGTTATTTAAGGCCATTTTGGCCATTCTAAGAGGCTGAGAGGTAGCACTGGCTGCTGCCAGTATTTTCAGGTTGTGGTTGTTATATTCAGGTCTGGTCCTTTACATTAATTTTGTAATCGTTTCTAAAATTGCTGCAGTGTCATATCACTTGCACAACCATCATTTTTATGGGTTTGTTGTCATTGGTGCTGTTATACACATTTTTATTTTAAGTCTGTCATAGATTAGTGTGTAATTTCGAATTAGAATAAATCCTTTAAAAATACATAGGAGCAGGAAACCACCATGTCAGCCTGCATTGTTGAATACAGTGGACACCAGTGTTCCAACTACAAGTGTTTTATGTATGTAGCCAAAGACCTGCTCACCTTGTTGACATAAAACAATGAGTAATTTAAAATGAATTACTTTATGAATTATAGAGAGATATCAGCTGAATGTTTTTTACCCACAAAATCTGCCATTAACCTATGGGCATTCCTCTGTATCACTCCATAATGGCTGTGCTGCCACCAGTTAAGTACTGTTTAAAGAAATAATTTAATTCATTTATTATAGAAAAAATATCAGTCGTTAGTATTTTTGGCCAGTTGTAATAAATAAGTGTTATGACAATATGTGAAAGGACTAACAATTAGAACGTCTATCTCAGCTGTCATCGAGCGAATAGCAGGATACATCCTGGACTGATTGCCGCTCTATAGCTCTCCCTCACACACATATACACTAACAAATACGCTGTCAAAAATAAAATGGTTTGTGAGCATGGAAGTGCCTTTGTCCACCCTACATCTACTGTTGAAGATGGAATATGACAAAGGGAGAGAAGAAGATGGCCTTTTTTGTGGCTCAAGAAAAAGTGAGTATCTGTATTATATGATTTAGGCATATAATATCTATGAAACAAAACATTGTGAATTTGAGAGTGAAACTTTTGTAATAGGCTGAAAAGCATTTTGTTGTTCTAAGTGAAAAGCAGACTATTACTTTAGGTCTGCACTCGTAGGCCTCGCTGGCTCAGAGACTCATCCCCATGAACAAAGCAAGACAATCAGAGCTCAATCGGTTTTTACTTGTGCAAGGGAAGCCGGTCCGGTCAGGATCCAGAGCTGTCAGCTCCTCACCTGATCCCAGACAACTCCAAATTCCAGCCTCCCCTTGCAGCCTTTTTATTCAGTGAACACAATTACACAGTCTCCCGTTGTAAAAGTTAAGGCACTGTGTGTGTATATGCACGTGCGAGCATGTGAGTGATTGTTTATGTGTGTGTGTGTATGTGTCTTTGTATACGTGACTTCCTGTTTCCTGGTCGTTTAACCACATCCCTAGTTATCAAAAGGTCATCTCCCCCCACTCGTATATGCTTAACTCCTCTAAATGGTTCACCATATACAAGCATAGGTGAGCCCATAAATGGCAGGAAGTAAACATTCCTTACCAAATAAGGAAACCAGACTCTTACATGCAATGTGCCTGCAGTTAAACACTATAGTTAATAGCATCCCCCACCATCCTAGATGTAGGGGAGGAACAGAAAAATATCTGAACATGCAGTTCAGGACAAGGTTTACAGTTTTAAGCACAACAATGACAACTTTTATCAAACTCACTCCAACAATTACTCTGTTGCGACATTTTGCCCAAGACCTGACCCTGTTCCTCCTGAACTTCCTCCTTTCATGGCCTTTTATGTATTATTTTAGGTGTTTCTTCCATTTCTTTCATTCTGTTTTGAATGGATCTCTTGAGTGTTCTGTTTACCCACCTGTGTGAATTGGTTTTGTTTTCTTCCCTGTGTCCGCACCATGCTTGTCCACTACGTAATTGTATTTTATCGACACCATCCTACTTGTACTCCTCATACTTCTTTCTATGAGGAGAATATTTCAATGGTCCATATTTGTCCTGGCCTTTGGCCTTCCTGCACCAGCATTGGTGTCTTTCATGGCCCCTTTCTGCTTTTGTTGTCTTCACCTGCTAGTTGTTACTCAGAAATCAACATCTGTCTGCATTAACTACTATTTGAGTAAATCCTTTTTTTTTCCTGAATATTGTTCAATAAAAGTAATTTTAATGTTTTATTACAAATGTTTTGAGATTATAAGATAACATTTTGCAAGAATTGATGTAAATTAATGATGCAGGATCTCACACATTATAAATAGAACTGAAAATATTCAGTTTATTAATCAAACATAATCAAAGATTTGCAGCTTGAGGACATGCAAATGTGAACACATTTTATTATATCCTGTTGCACTGACATTTTCTATAAGAAGCAGCAGATGTGAAACAGTGAAAGCATCACGTAAGAACTGCTTTGCGGTGCAGTGTCAGTTCTACTAAAAACGTGTTGCTGTTTCTTGTAAATGGGGATGGGCGGGGGGGGTCTGTCTTTGCACATCGGATAAATTTGAGTCTGGTGCACAAGTCACAAAGTGAAACTGGACGCAAAAAAATTTATACTAATCTGTGCATCAGTGCTTGCTAATAAGACAAAATGTGCTGTTTCTTGTAAATGATTTTGGGAGGAGAAAGCAAAGTCTAAAGAGTGAATGCAGTGACTTGCTGTACCTGCAGGAGGTGTGTGGTCCTCAGTACCATACTGTAGTAAATAACCAGGACTATGGGTTCAAAATGTGGTCATAAATATTTTGTACTTGTAAATCAGTTTCGTATGTGTAAAAATTTGTGTGTGCGTAAAAAAAGATTTGTACGTGTAAAAAAGATTTGTATGTGTAAAAAAGATTTGCGTGTGGACTTAGCCAAAAAAAAAAACCCCTGCAAGTTACACGTACACATTTTGACCTTATTTTTCTTCCTTTCATCTGATTGGTCAATGTCATTTCAATCACAAATGTAACAATCCAATCAGAGAACAGGTTTGGCTGTCGGAGGGGTGCTTTTTTGAACTGCAGGTCCTTGAAGGGTAATACAGTTTGAAGCTGGAGGATCTCTATATAAATATCCGATAGCAGCTAGGTCCCCTAACTTTCAGTAGCTGTTGAATTTATCATTGATGTTTAGGGTCGTTGTCCTTCTTTCTATGAAGTATGAGGAGTATGATCCATGGCTCTCGGTCTTCATGCACCAGCACTGGTGTCTTTCAGGGCCCCTTTCTTCTTTTGTTGTCTTCATCTGCTAGTCGAATCTATAATTCGAATTTGAGTTTTAAATGTATAAAACAACAGGGGTTTTGGGGTTGTTGTTTTTGTACATTCTTGTAGTTTTAAGACTCTGGACAGTGGATATGATGACCAATGAGACCATCAACAATCAAATAAATCTTTCTTAGTGTTCTGCAAAACTCTACTGTTACTCACTGACTTGAGATAAAATCTACTCAGCTGCTTTGAAAATAGCTTCTAACTGGTTCCTCCCATAACAGGATGGCTAGCTGGTTAAATTGATCCTGCAACCCAGAAACCTTTCTGCTTCTGCTTTGATTCAGCAGGGACAGGTAGGGGAGCCTTTCAGTGTCTCCAGCCTCCCTTAGAATACCTGAATTAGATATGAAAATGTGACAAACCTGCTGTTTTTCAGATCACATAAAGTTGTACTCATGTGTCAGGTTTAAGTAGTACAATTACTTTTTATGTCTGCTTTCTAAATTTGTGAACTGGTCATCACTTACACTAGGGGTATCAAACTCAAATACACAGTGGGCCAAAATTCAAAACTGGAACAAAGTCGCGGGCTAACGTTAATATTTATTGAAATATATTTATTCCTCCAGATATAAGAATGAATCTTTTCTTATGGACTCAAACACGTTTTGCTGAAAAACTGAATATGGAACAAGCAAAGCTTAATACTAAACAATATCTGATAGTAATTTGGTGTGGCTTCGCGGGCCAACTGTAAGTAGGCTGCGGGCCAAATTTGGCCCGCGGGCCAGAGTTTGACACCTATGACTTACACTTTCATTACATACTTTGAGTTTGTAAACATTCAGATTGAATCATTGGAATACATTGTATCCAATTGATGGCAGCAAAGGGTGTTAGTCCATCCCAGCTGCTACAAGGAGACAAAGGCAGGGTACACCCTCAGCAAGCTGCCAATTTATCACAGGGCTAGCAATATATATATATGTCACGTAAAACCCATTACATTGCTTAAATAATTTTTATTTAAAACACCTAACATGGAAAGCTTTCTTTCCAAACCTGAGCTGTTTCAGATGCTTTTTGAAATTCTGAGCTCTCTGATCTCAGTGTAAGCTGTCTGTGCCCTCAGTGGAGCTGCATCTTAAAAGTACTTCTACTTCTTCTCTTCCCCGAATGTTGACCAGCTGTCCAAGAGTACTGAAGATCTGAGGTCACACATCCTGGTGACAACAACGTACTCCAAAGGTCTCGTGTCCCTTGAGTTACGTTTTTGTCACTCTCTGCATTGCCTTTCTTCGGTGCTAATTCCGTTTTATTAAGTAGTAGTGTGATTACTGCACAGAAAACAGGGGTTTTCTCTGCAGAGAAACAGGGAAAATGCCAGACACTAGACATCTGTTGATAATATTTACTTAATGATTTGTAAAACAATGAGATACAGGTTTAAATAGTTTTGTTTTGATGGGGTGAAGTAGAGAGGTGCAAGACTTTAACTGATGCTTAATTTCTTCCAGATCTTTAAAATCTACAGGTGAGAATGTGGACATTTAGCTTGTGGCAGTAGTTTGATCAGAATGTGATGCAGTACTAGATAAATAACTGTGAGAAGCTAAGATACTACTATTCAACCTGTAATTTAATATTTTGTATTTTCCAGAATTATATTTAAAAACATAAGGTTAACCTGCGAAACTGAGAAAGCAAGAACAACACTCAGTTGAATTATGACAGTGACTCACAAATTTATTTTAAAGGAGACAACTAGGTTAAAAAGAAGGACCAATGCTTACAGTTCTAGAGGTCATGACACAAAGTCAACAAATCTAAGTTTATTGTCAGGCTGCGAGTCACACATGTGAAGGAAAAAGGCAACGCAAACAACTCAGTCAAGGGGAAGTTAAAAGTTGGAGCAAAGATGGATTCGTTCATCAAGAAAGTGAAGAAAAGTAAATCTCAGAAACAAACAAACAAAAAAACATCACTGCCAACAAGAGAAGTTACAAAGAGCTCCCACGATCAGTTTCTTAACTGCCTATCTATTGGAGCCTATGTGTTTAACCACTGTTACAGAGTGAGATGGTACATCCTGCTCATGCTGAAAGTCCGTCACCAAAAATAATAATATGCTCTCACATCCACAATCAATCATTTCACATAAAACATAAATGTGTTTGTCAAAATGTTAAACATATACAGATATCTCTAACTATAATATTGCCATGACTGAATACTATTAATGTCCCAAAAGCCCACAGTAAGACTCTACTTCAACTAATAAATCACTAAGATAACATAAGAAGGAAATTCAATATGTCCACAGGATCTGCTGTGTGAAAACAGCGAGCTGTCAATGAAAAATAAGAGAAACACTCAAAACTTCAGAAAGAAAATTGACAAATTTTACAGGAACCTCACATATAATTCCCAAAATATTACGACTTTTGAACTTGTTGCTATCTGTGACATCATGCTAGGAAGTCTTGATATGCAGGGAAACTCTAAGAAAAAGTTTAAAACAATGGTGCAATGATACAGAGCGGCAGTCATGCGTTTCTATATGAAAAGATCCTGACTGTCATTCATCGCTTTCATCGCTTGAGTCTAATAGAAGCAAACATTGACACGCCGTCCTAAGTGTTTTAATTCCTTCAACCAGCAAAGGTAATGGATTAACCTCCTCAGCTTTATTTCTGGCTTCATTTTCATATCTGGACTGAATCTTGCGCCTTTCTTCCTCCAGTTTTCTCTCACATTTCTCCTTTAATTTCTTCATCTCCCATTCTCTCTCCTCTCTCTCTCTCTTCCTCTCTGCCTCTCTCTCCTCCATCTCTCTCTTTCTCTCCTCATTCATCTCCTCTCTCTCCCTCTTCCTCTCCTCATTCAGCTCCTCTCTCTCCCTCTTCCTCTCCTCATTCATCTCCTCTCTCTCCCTCTTCCTCTCCTCCTCTCTCTCCTTCCTCTCCCTCTCTCTCTCAGCCTGGAGTTGTTCGTTGTATTTCTGCATCTGTTTCTCATATCTTTCCTGTATTTCTCTCTCAATTTTCTGTTTCTCTTTCCGTATTTCTTCTTCTTTCTCTTTCAGGATGCGTTGTTTCTCCTCTTCAATCGCCCTCTCAGCCTCTTGGAACATCTCGTTGGTGTAGTGGCTTCCTCCGTTCTTCTGGACTATCTCTCTGATCTTCTGGATCAGCTCAGTAACCTGAGAGCGCTCCTTCAGTTTATTATTGAAGACGTGATACTGACCGTTACATCTGGCCACGAGTTCCTGCAGGTCTGAGCTTCCTTCTAAGAACTCTTCAATAGTGGTGCCTTCAATTAGGTCTCCATGGGTAAAGAGAACCATGCTGTATTTGTCTGCTGCGTGGCCAAAGATTTTTTGAATCTTTTGCACCGTCTGTTTTTCCTCTTCAGTGAATCTGCCCAGTCTGATGACCACCAAGAAGATATGGGGTCCTGGAGAAGCATAGGAGATGCACTGGCGTATATTTTTCTGAGTTTCCTCTTCATCAACCCTGGTATCAAACAGGCCCGGGGTGTCAATGACAGCAACGCGATCCACTGCAGCTTTTCCTTTAGAAGATTCTACAGTCATAGATTTGGCACCGAACTTGGATTCAAAGCACTCACGGCCCAGAATAGTGTTTCCAGTAGCACTCTTTCCAGTTCCAGTCTTCCCCACCATCACAATCCTCATCTCATCATCATTTGTCCTGCCAGAATCTGTGTAGAAAGAT